TAGTTGATCAATAAATATTAGTAAAATGAGTTGAAAAATGAATTACGTGAGTTAACAAATTAATGAAAAGTCTCAGGGTAGAGGATTAGTAGTATTCTTCAAAATCTATATATGGAAATGTCTCTACTATTGTGCAAATGTTTATATCCAGGTAAAACATTCTCCATCGTTGTAGTATAAGGGGTAAATTCCAGAGTATTTAAAAGCTATCAAAATAATAATTATGATAAGAGGAAGGAGGAGGAAAGGAAGAGGAGATGAGAAGGTAAGGGCAAGGAAAGAAGGAGAAAGGTAGAGGAGGAGGAGGAAAACAATAATATGTCCTCATCAACTGTGCTTGATCATAGTGCCTCCCTCAGAATTTTCTCTTTAGTCAACATTAAAGATGATCTAATCTAAGACCCTAAAGAATCTTCTGTATAGCTTTGTGTTTGTAAAGGATTAAAGATTGAATGGAAAGAGAATCTGCTTCTTGTTTATGAATTCAGAGCTTACTGAGCCAAGGAAATCTGAACTGTCCCTTCCCATTTCAAATTCACACAAGGTGCTGAACTCTGTGAGAAAGTGGAAACTAGAAAAGGATACTTCATCTTTCTAGGCCATTAATTATTCATAGAAAGCATTGCTCTGAAGAAATGTCAACACAGGGTACTCATATTTTTTTGACTGTAGACTTCTGCCACGTCAAAGACAAATGTGGAGTAGAGAATGGGACAGTAACAGAAATTCTTGTTCATCATTTGCATGTATATGCCAGATAAAATCCATTCTTCATCTCTGAAAAAAAAGTAAGAGAGGGGATGGAAAAGAAACAGGGTATTAGCTTGTTAAGTGCCTACAGTCTCATGTGAAGAATGCAGTTCAACTTCAAACAAGACCCCAAAGTCACATCTGATCCTGATTCTTTTGGACAGGTTAACTCACCGTGGTTTATAATATCTTCAGTACAACCGGTGCCCTTTCTTCTTCTGTAATACCCCCAAAACCTCCTAAATTCTACAATCTAGGGAAATAACACTTGAAGGGACCATTGGACTGTGTACAACAACCACATGGCTTCAATGGCTTCAAATAGGATAATTATGTTTTTAGCAAATGGGTATCCCTTTGAAGGAAGGAAATATAGGGCAATTATGCTGAAACGTTGTCTCCTAGGGCTTGATTGACACACCTGAAAAGGGTGCAATTCAGCTTGACATCTCTCTTCACTTCCTGGCCTTCATGGGTGACAAAGCACAAGTGTGTTTGTTTTTTACAACTGTCAAGGGCTCCCACTGTCTCTGACCCCCATCCTTTTCCTCACTGGGGTTTCATACTGATGACCAAGATGATTTCAGAAGTGCTCCTGATTCTTAGATCATCTTCCATCTCCTTTAGCCCAATCTGCTCCCTCAATGGGTTCTTTCCTCCAATAAAAGATTGAGAGTGGAGTAGTATATTCTCATTACAGTCCTGACTGGTGTTATGAGAAATATTTTCCGCCATGATTCTAGTGATAAAAAGATGATGACTTAACCCAAACTCTCTCTTTTTCCTGATTTTGTTCTAAACAACATACATTAACATTTTAAAATAGAATTTAAACAGGTGTCCAGTAACAGAATGACAAATGTTAAGTGTGAAATCTGAAAGTTAGGAAACTGAGCCACATATGGTCACCTTTTTTTTTTTTTTAAATATCTGCCTGTGCTGGACTATTAAGTGGTTTCATCATTGTCACATCAAGCAGGACTTGTAAAACTTGGGATGTGGGTATTCAAAGACATTTGCTTGGTGCCTTTAATGATTTCTGTAATTAGTCATTTAAACAGATTGCCCTGTGATCCAATGCAGGGAATGCAGGGAGACAAGCTGAGAAAATCATTTCCTAAAGGTACTTTAAACTAATTGCAGAAAATGAGGCTTGTCTCTGAAAGAGTCTCTGGCCCATAGTTCAGTGGTGGAGCTGGAGCTGGAGAGCCGCATTCTCCAAGAATCTATAAAATGTATATGCCAGGTGTTTTTTTGGACAGTGCTAAAGGCCTTTGGTGGCTCTGCAAAATTTAACAGATAAGGAAATGGTTCCTCCATGCCAATGACAATTTAGAAACCAGAAGGAGGAAATGCACCTGGTTAGAACAAACTGTGGCTAGGAGAGAGACCAAGGAAGGGATCCTTCACAGGAGCAGGGGAAGAGGGTTGGGAGATCTGTGACTCTGCCCTCTTGAACTGGGCAGCTGTACTTTGTTATTAAATGTACTTGAAGTGACTAACTCAGCATTTACTTTAAAGATAAAAGTAGGAGTGTTCAGAGTGCGTCAGAATGGGACTTCACTATTTTAATGAGTCCATGCCTCGCACACTAGGCAATGTTCTCAGTTGACGTCTTTATCTCAGCAAGCCTCAATCGCTCCATGAGAGAAAGAGCTGTTCAATGCTCACCAATAATTCTGCCACTCTGTTGCAGGAGTTGTGTTGAAGACTCAAAACCTTTTAAAAGTGGGGATGGTGTACACATACATATGCACTCATTTCATATATAATAAGCAATGAAAGTTAAGATTTACTGGGTGCTAACTAACCACATGCTATGCACAAGTCTGACATCTTTAACTGTCCTAATGTATTAAATTCTCACATATCTGAATAGGGAGGTTTTACTGATCAGGAAACAGAGGGACAGAACATTTAAGTAACTTGCTCGAGGTCACAGAGCTAATAAAGGCAAGAGCTAAGATTCAAACTCAGGCAATCTAACTACAAATGTGATGTTCAAAGTGCAAACATTCTCTCCTTCATGTCCTTCAACGTTCCCACTTCCCATCTGTAACCAAATATATGAAATGCATCAATTTCTTTTATGGGCTCTAACATCACCATAGAGTGCTAGATGAATCTTGACTGGGTGCTGGATGACAGAGAAGCATATTAAGGATGGAGGGTGGCAATGAAGTTGGCCTGATTTCAATACTCTGAAGAATAAAGTGTGTTTCTTTGAATGACGTGAAAGATGTTTTGATAGCCAGAGAGAATACAATGCCACAAAGTAAAGAATTCTACTATGCTATTCCAGGAATGTCAGTGGCCTGGAGTTCACAATCCTGGACTCCAGGGAAGAGGCAAAAAGAGAAGCTGACTTTCAAAATTGATACATGGTACCTAAAGTCTCTTGGTGTCATCTGCTCTTTCATCTTCAAATCCTTAAAATCCCCATTGCAGATTGTCTTGCACTTTACCCCAAAACATCTACCATCCAGAGTTTTCAGTCTAGCTGACAAAAGAGGTCAAATTTCAGGGAAATAGCAGAAATGGTTAGGGGCCATGGGGCAATTCGTTGGTTGATATACAAATCCCCTTATGATTACCTTATGATTACTGACAGTCAGTGTATTCCTGACATAAAATAAAAGATAAATATGATTTTGAAAAGAAAGCAGAGAAATTACACAAGAACTTTTGTATTTGCCAAGTCTTAAGGGCTCTGTCCTACACAAAATAGGAAAAGCAAAACCATTCAATGGCCTTTGAGACAGGAGAAATGATTTGGTGTGAACTATCCCTTCCATTTTGAGAGCCAGCTGAGGCAGGGCACATTAGAAACCCGAGTGGCTGTAATTCTGGTTGCCTAAACGTGCTTACCGAGGTGGGGGACAAGTCTATTTGTCTCCACTGAGCAGGGTGAATCGTCAGCAGAATGCTAAGTAGCTGTTTCAGCAGTGCCGATTGATTCACAGAGATGGCACAGATGTGACCTCCTCAGTCAAAGTCAATGTTTTCTTGGCCTCAGAATTTCAGAAAAATACAAATGTAAATGAAAAATAATGGCAAGGCCCACACATAGCCCAGAGTCATTGCCCCAATAATTATTTAATGCCTGCTAGGTTTCCAACACGCTGCTAGATGCTGACAATGACATAAAAATCATCAAAGACATAACTTTTGTTCTCTACAATGGTAAAGTGGTAAAAATTATATAGTTTTAAAAATCAGAGTTGAAAGTTTCCTTTGCCACATATCAATAAAAATTAACAGGTAGCCTGGGTGGTATAGCCGGTTAAGTGTCCAACTCTTGGTTTCCCCTCAGGTCATGATCTCAGGACCATGAGATTGAGCCCCGCGTCAGGCTCCACACTCAGTATGGAGTCTGCTTGAGTTTCTCTCTCCCTCTCCCTCTCCCTCTGCCCCTCCCACTCGTGCTGTCTCTCAAATAAATAAATCTTAAAATATTAATCTTAACAGGTAAACATGAGTATACCTTCCATATAGTCTTTTCTTTGTCTAGAATGCCCTTTTCTTTATCTGTCTAGGGAAATTCCAGACACAAGTCAGAGTCCAACATGACTGTCACTTCAATGACATGAAGCCTCAGTGGCCATGCCCACGCAGCAATGCCCCTTTATACCCCATCTGCATGTTTGCAATTCAAGATATTACTGTAGGTATCTGGGTATGTGTCTGAATCCCCCACTCAGTGACCTCCTTTGGTTGAAGTTCTTTTATTTTTAAAAATTTTTTAAAGATTTTATTTATTTGAGAGAGAGAGAGAGACAGCAAGAGAGGGAACACAAGCAGGGGCAGTGGGAGAAGGAGAAGCAGGCTTCCCGCTGAGCAGAGAATCCAATGGGGGGCTCGATCCTAGGACCCTGGCATCATGACCTGAGCCAAAGGCAGACACTTAACAACTGAGCCACCCAGGTGCTCCTGGTTGAAGTTCTTTTAGATTCCAGCTATTCTTTAGAATATCTCTGGGTATGTTAAAAAAAAAAAAAATACAGACGTTTAGATTCCAAACCAGACCCATTGACTCAAAATTTCCAGGATGTAGGCCTGTACATCTTTATTTTACTTTAAGCTACAATCAGTGCTAGAAGCATGGAATTATATAATCAGTGACTCTGAATGAGAAAATCTTGCCTTGCCAACTGCACTTGCTCATCTCTCCTCCCTGATGTCCTCCATGTTTTTTAATTCACCGCTCACTTAGTACCCTCCAGCCACAAGGGCCTTCCTCATTTCCTCCCATGCACCAAATTCTTTCTTCTTGGTGCCACTCATGCTCTTGCTTCTTCTAGAATGTACTTCCTCCTATAATTCATTTGGCTATCGCCTACTTATCTGTTCAGGTCTCAACTTGGATGCTGTTTCTTCAGAGAGGATCTCCACTGACTTCCCCCAATCTAAACCAGGCTCTCTTCTTTCATCACTTGCCACTATTTGTAGTACATTCCTGGTGTTTATTGGTGGAATGCCTGTCTCCCCAACAAAAGGGAAGGAGCTCCATGAACATAAAGACCACATTGACATAATTCACCAATGCTCAGTTCATAGCCTGCATTGACAAATTATTTTTGAATGAATGGATAAATAAATGACATTGGTTAAGTTACTTAACCTCTGTGAGCCTATGTCCTTATCTACAATGATGGTATTAATTCCAACTTTCCAAAGTTGACATTCAAATAAAATGAAGTGACACATCTAAATAGCCTGGTACAATACCTAGACAATAGTTGGGACTCCATCAGTATTATTCAGGATCTGGGAGTTCTTAATTCTTCGACTGAATTATTTCCCATGTGACCTGGGACAAGAACCCTGATGCTCTGTGCCTCCTTATTTTATTATTAGTTCACACTACATGAAAACACTCAAAAAGCAGCAATTTCATAATTTGTCCAGAGCTTTTATACAGACAAATAAAATATCATTCAATGGTTTCAGCATATTAAAACATAATTTGTAAGCAAGAGGGAAAGAGGATATTTGTACCCCATTTGGTGAATAGTGATGTGGATATGGAGCAAAAAGATAATGCTCAAAATCATATTATAACATGGGGAGAGAGTCAAGTTATAGTGGGTGTTAGGTCTCCAGAATCTCTTTTAACCTGGCTTGGCTGTTCTTCTTTTGCTTCTCATGTTTTGGGAGAATTCCTAGGTGCCGACTCTAATAAGACTTTGCCGAGTTCAATTTTACCCACTCATCCTCAGGATACATTATTGAAGGGAGATGAACTTTTTATTGCCTCTGGCTACAAACAGCTGTTACTTCAGCCCCAGTCAGGAACAGTCTATACACACATTCCTGTAATTGAACACAGCTACTGATGAGTCGATAATCCAATTGGCTGATGAATCTAAATGGATTTTCATCTATGGTGGATGGAGCTAAATAAAGAAGGATAAAAGGTGCACTGTACAGTGTCATGAATTTCTCAAACTTATTCCTTTGGTTCTTTATTTCTTGTGTGCTGGAAACCACAGAGCAGCATATAGTGGCCCGTCAAATGCGAGAAGTCGATGTTGTGACTGAACTAGTCCTGGGGGTCTTCACAGAAAAAGCAGTCGGGGTCCTGGTCAGCTGGAGATTCCATCTGAATGGTGAGTGAGTGCAGAGCAAAGCTATTGCTGAGGACTTTAACAATCTCTCTCCGAACAACCTGGCTGTCACGGCTGGCTACTGTTGAGAAAGAACCATGGTAAGATTGGCACTGATTGCACACACGTGGGTGACTGCTACATTTCCAGCTTCAAGTACTTTGTCTTTGACCTGATGGGAGGGGCGTAGGTGGGGCACTCAGAAGAAGCCATGTTGCCTCTGACAGCTCCGTTGGCACAGACAAAACGGGGAAATTCGAGTGCGGCAAAGTACCCATCACTGTGGGAACTCTTCCTGCCCACAGTTCTCTCTGGGGTCTGGCACACTTAGAAGCTGAGCATGGGAGGGGAGATAAGGCCTGAAGGAAGCTAAGACACAGCTATTTATTTCTTATATGGCCCTTTCCACCAGTCCCCAGAGCTCTCTGGGTTGCAGCCCTTGTATCTCATCAGCATTTATATCAAGACTAGTGATAGGAACAGGGAAACATTTAGAGCTCCCAACAAACTGTTCTTAGAGCAGCAATCTCACCGCCGTCTTTTCTCTTGTCCCAAAAGGCATCTGGAGACTGTAAGTTTCCCTCCATAGTAACCTGACTGCTTACTAGATTCTTCCATCTGCAGTGAAATATTGGTGTAGCAGATGCTATAAATTACCTGTAGCCAGATCTGAGCCTCTCAGCAAAGATGATGATGTCAAAGAAAGCATAGTCCTCAAATGCCTGTCACTGTCGTTGCTGTAGCCTGCCTCTACGTGACTTCTTGAGTTATTTTTTAGCTGCCTGACGTATCATTTCGCCTGAGCTGTCTTCCTGAGGCAGTGAGGGATCCTCTCCCTTCCCCGTCTCCACTGCCTATTTCCCCAGGCCAAGGACACATAATGGACAAATTACCTTCTACTTGAGAAAGTAGTTTTTAGAATAAACCCAACATCCTAAGAATTATCTCACATGATTACAGAATTTCTAACCATCCAGTGAGGGAACCACCATTAAACCCTGCTAGCACGTCTTTTAGCTTATTAGAACCTTAAAGATGGGACCTATGTCTCCTTCATCTTTTTATCTTCAGTGATACACAGAGCATCTTAGACACAGGAAATATTCAACGAAGATTTATTGTTGACTTCATCCCATTATTTAACTGATTGGGTACCAACTCAAACAGGTGAGGTCTGGTTTTCAGAGTCTAAGACCTTGAAGTCTGGGTGGCATTTAAACCATCTATTCTACCTGATACGCTCTGCAGTCTGCCTCAAGGGGTGCCTTCAGTATTATTGTTGCTACGATAAATTTGACCAGAGGTGCTTTCAAAGGACTTGGTAAAAGGAAACACTCCACAGTTGTTTTGATAGGCAATGGACACTACAGGCAGCTCTACAGAAAGGAGGGAAATTATTGAGTTTACAGGACAAGGACTGAATTTTGGCAGAGTATTTACAGAACACACTGACCTGCAGCAACATGAGCTGAGAGAATCACTTGGTTCATTGCTAGAGACCAGATGTGCAAGCTGTGCACAGACACCACTCCATCCACCGCTAAGATGCGCTCTTTCACATCATTATAATTCAGGTTCTTTGGCACACCTGACAAGAGGAAAGGGAGGGACGGAGGTTGTTTTTATTTAACTAAATACAGCTCATCCACATGGCTAAAAGGGGCCGCAAAATCTCCTCCGGAATATCAATGTGCCCTCCCCCTTTCTGGTTTCTGACTTCAGGTGTTTACAATTCAAATTCACCTGACTCTTTCAAAGGGTTTAACATCAAAGACTGTTTGCAGATGTTATGCAATAACCAACAATAGTAATCATTCTCTGTTTTTGGTGTGTGTTATTAAACCAACTGAGCTTTTTCTAATGATCTTTGCATACACTCTAGAAAGCAAAATGAAGAAACATGGGACTTGGTATCAAGTAATTCTGGGTTAGCACTCTGACCACAGCTACCATGAATTTACCCAAATCTTGGAACTTCTCTGATCCTCAGCACATCTGTGGTTAAAATAGGGACAGAAAGAGCAATAGGTATACTAAGTTCTTTGAGGAGCAAATGGAAAAATATCTGCTCTTTATACACTTGCAATGCTATGTAAATAGTAGTTATCCAACAAGTCACTTACTGAACTGTGTTAATAGTTGCTACTAACATTATAATGCCATCTTATTACTCAGTTTATAGAATTTTTATTGATTTATGTGCATTAGTCAGGGTTTATTGGTTCAGGTCTCATAATGTCAGAGTTTGACATCATCCTTGCTTCTAAAGGAATGGTGTAGGGCCACAGAAGAAGGTAGGGGCCCTGTCAGCCAATCAACAATTCTTTTGGGCTGAAGGAACTGGGGTTTCTCTAGCTTGAAGAAGTGAAAGCTCAGGGCAGAAGGATCACTTTTCTCAAACATTGCAAGGATTGTCATTTGGAAGATGAGAGGCTATGAAAGTGTAAGGGTCCTTGCTTTGGCTAGAGAGAAGGCAAGCCAATGGTAGGTTAGAATTGTAAAACACATCAATTTAATATCAGTTTTTTTTTTTATCAACTCAACCAGCATAACACTGATAAAGCCACTTGATGCAATAAGTAAATCCCTGCCAACTAACGATGACCCAAAGAGGATGCTGTAGAAGAGATTTCTAAGGATGACCACATTTTAACTTCTACTTCAATCATATATACACAACATGAACACCTGCTGTGTTTGTTAAAAATAAATATGCCTTAGCTCCATTCCAGTTCTTCCAAAGAAAATTTCTATGGATGAGGCTCTGAAATTGACATGCTTTCGAAGTGGCTCTCCACCTTGAATGCACGTTAGTATCATCAGAGGAGATTTTAGGAATCCTGATTGCCAGGTTACATCTAAGACCAATTAAATCAGACCCTCTGGGGATAAGATGAAGCATCACTATTTTTATAGCTCATTTGGTGACTAACAGCCAAGTTTGAGAACCATTGCACTAACGTTTACAAACCACTGGGCAGCTCTAGTTCTCAAGCTTGGCTGCATGTTAAAAAAACATCAAAGCCAGCCCCCACCTGAGTCAATTAATCAGAATCTCTGGGTATGGGGCCTGGGCATAAGTATTTTAAAAAGCTTCCCAAAAGATTAGAATGAGCAGTTAGTCAAGAACAACTTAGTTAAAGGAATAGGGAATCCTTAACCCTCCTTTTCCAGGATTTAAGAACTTTGCTCATGGGGATTTCCTTCTTGGAGCTAATATTAAAATTCTCTACAGTTTTAGTTTAGTTTAATCCCACTTCATATTGTTTCATGGAGGTAACAAGGAGCTGGTTCATATTGTTTCATGGAGGTAACAAAGAGCATGTTCTTTTACTCTGTGAGCTGCACAGAGCTCAGGGCACTAGAAACAAAAGAGTTCTTAGATTAGCCATAGAAGTGTATGGAGTCATGGTCGACACTGTTATATTGTAATGATAATAACGCACCTTTACTGAGAAACTACCATATGTCAAGGTTTATGCTAAGTACTGTATTCATAGTGATTAGCTTACTTAATAGAGATAAGAACTTTAAGAGCTAATTATCAATGTCACAATTCCTATTTAATTGGGAGAGAGGAAATTGGGAGTCAGAGAGGTTAAGAACCATTGCTAAGGCCAAATAGAGAAGGGGGACATCAGATTCTCAAGTCCATGCTCTGAGTGTGAAATGTTATACCAATAGAGTCTAAGTCTTGCAACCCAAAATTGATTATTATGCCTAATGTGTCATCTCTGAGGAGTTTCATGTGACCCTCTGAAGACCTATTGTCCTCATCTAGGACCCTTGAGATGAAATCACAAGCCCACTACCCCCTTCCCTCTTGCCTCACTTATCTCTTTACTTTTATGGAGAACACAAATCCACTGTTACTTATTTTACTCTCTAGAATAATGTTGACAAGCAAGAGGAAATGTTCCCAGTGGTCTTCAGTGCTCCATCATATATTAGAAATTTTTTTCCTGAGAGAGAGCCTGCAGACATATCAATGCATCCAGGAAAATACCCAAATTAGTGTTTAAAAAATAATTACTCAGGTTAATAAATATATGAAAAATCACTCAATATCTCTCATAATGAAGGAATTGCATATGGAATCAAAAACCTATAATATTTCACCTATCAGATTAGAAAAGAATCAACATCTTGATAATACTCAATGATGGCGAGGATGTGAGGAAATGGGCATTCTCGCATGCTGTTTGTGGGAAAGAAATTGATATGGTATCTTTGGTAGAAATGGCAATATCTACCAAATTTTAAAATGCATATAACTTTTGAAACAGCAATACCACTTCTAGGAGTTACACTACAGATATACAAGCATTAAAAATATATATGTGCAGAATGGTAATTACACTGTTATTTCTAATATCTATCAATAAGCAAGTACATGCATGCAGTGGAATACTTTGTACCATGGAAAGGAATAGGGTGTATCTCTGTATGTGCTAATACGGACAAACCTCCAAGTGAAGAAAATAAAGTGCAGAACAAAATATGTATCAATGCATAATTCTGTTTGTACAAAAAAAAGATATATATACTCTATAGATACATATATATTTCAGGTACATATATATGTAAATGCATAAATATTTTTGGACAGATACATTTCAACTTATTAGTAGGTGTTACCCTTGAAGAATGGGATTGAGATTTCAAAGGTGGAAAAGTGGGGAGACTTTTTATAATTTTATACCTTTCCATATTTTTAGAAAACTTCATTAAGTACAAGTACTCTAACAGTTATAGTGCCCAACGGGACAAAACCCTTAAACGTGTACTCAGCGGTGAATCCTAAGGAAGTGTGGGCTTTTGTCTAGGCACCTGCGCTCTGAGACTGTATTGGCCTTATGTCAAAATGTGCTGGACAAAAAAGAAAAGGTTAAGCCAAGGTCTGGATAGTTTTGATCATCTGAATGCTTGATGTGATGCAACCCTCTAATTCTGATTGAATTTTCTAGGTGCCACTCTCAGTGCCCTCATGTAGTAACCCTTTAAATGCTATGAAAAGACTATTCCAGTTGTTCTCAAAGTGTGGTCCCTGAACCAGCAGCATCAGCATCTTGTTAGAAATTCAAATTCTTGGGCCTCACTCTAGACTGGTTCAGGAATATGGGGGTGGACCCAGCAGATCCCAAGTGATTCTGATGCACTGAAGTTGGAGGACTGCTGGCCTGGTCTAACAGGGGTTTTAGGCAAGCCCTTCATAGGAGTTATAATGCTGTCTGAGAGAGAGATCATTCAATTTTTCTTAGGTATTTTCCATATATTTAGGGAGGAATTTATGTTTTTGCAATATCTCCCTCAATATCTATCCTTAGTATTTGTACATATTGTTTTTATACTGTGCCATATTATTATTTAATGGTTGCTGGAGGAAAAGAGAAGCCAGTTTTTTTTTTTTTTATTTGTTCCCATACAAATAAAAATCATTTTGTTTTCACAAAAATTCCTTACAAATTTATATTTTCCTTAGAATGCAAATTAACGGTGAACATGCCTTGATGCCATTCCCTTCTGTGATTATAGGGAAGAGAAAACATTGATCCTGGAAATAATAATAAAGTCACTCCTACCTTCCATGAGTAAGATGGAAAAGTCCTTTAAGACAGTGATGGTGCTGGCCAGAACCAGGATGGAAAAGACAAATGTGCAGATTGGGTCAGCCATTTTATAGTCTGGCTAGAAAATAAAGGGACTTCAGTTAACTGAATTCAGGCCCTCCATGCAAAAAGTCTGATTAATAAAATAAATAAACGTCCCCGCTTCTTTTTCACAGTCACCCTTTCACCTCCCTGACACTTGACATCCAACTCAGAGCCAAGACTTCCTGAAGACTCAATCCTTCTTTTAAGCTTCAAACTATGTACAGGGAAAAATATCCTTGAGTGTTCTCTCCAAAGGCCTGATTTGACTTTTCTCAAATTAATAGAAGCGCAGAGTATGTGATGAAAATATGCACAAGTTTATACAATATTCAATGGCTTTTCAGCCTTCCTCATGATGAGAAGAAAGGGTATTACCTGCCCAGAGGTTGCATATGACCAAGGTCCAGCTGGAGCTTGGTCTTGGCAGACTGGGGTTAGTTCCTTTCTTTCCCTTTTCAGGATGACACATATTCGAGGCAGGCATCTTTGATTAAGTCCTAAGAGTATGAGCTGAGGCCTCATTCTTGCACTGTCTCACCACCGGCGCCCTTAGCCTCAGGCTGAGGTACCTGGTCTTCTGCCCTTGATGAAGTTCTGTTCCACAGAAGAGTCCATGCCTCATTACCTCTGAGAAACTCTCAAACTCCACTAACCAGTACAAGTTTGAACAATTTTGCCTTAAACTTAAAGCTTTCAATGAATATTTGTTCAATTGAATTCAGATACATCTTTATAATTTTTATTTATGTGTTTTCATTTTTTAGTAAAAATGATAAGGAATTCCTGCTAACTGGATGATCAAGATGCAAATGAGAGAGCTAAATGCTCTTCTCCATTACCCCCCACCTATATCCCAACCCACTTCTGTTAGTTCTTGGTCTAACAGATCTGTAGTAAATGTTTGTTTAGGGTCAGAGGTTCATCTAGGATCCATCCAACTTCTTATTAATACCCTGATTTTGAGAGGAGAATTATCTTTCCCCCATTGTGGGTGCTATTGGTGGGGCAGTCAATCAGGTGCTCTCCCTCCCCAGCCAAGCAGCAGGTAAAAGACCCAACCTTAGTCTGTTGGACTCTCTTTCCCAGAAATATGACTCCCCAGCAGAATGACAAGAAATGGGGAAAAAAAAATTGTTGAATCACATTCATTTCTGCATTGGTACCTGGGACAGAATGTGGATAAGTTTCTAAAATCTAAGATACCCAATGTTGCCCTTATTTCTACCTTGATTTCTGTCCAAGAGTACATCTAGTAAATTTCAGCCAATAAATATATTTTTGCTTAAGTAAGCTAGACATCTTTTCTGTTGCATACAACCCAAGAAACTTAAGGTATCCATGGTGTTCACCTTAACTCCATGACAAAAGGAACTACTTTCTGGAAAGACTGATAGCCCTACAGTTGAAGACAGAGCACTTAGGAATTTGGAAAGTCTAAGATTTCAGGCTTTGAACATTTGTTTGCTTGTGTAAACCCTGCAAAGCAGTTGGTATAGACAAATAGGCTGTCCACCCTCATTTAAGTTAATATTGACAGGTCAGCTTCTGTACTACCTAATCTATAAACGTACTATGACAATGAGTAAACTCAAACATTCTCACCTTAAAGTAGATAATAAGTGCGCTGGTTAACACACTGATGCTCTGCAATAGATCTCCAAGGGCATGCACAAAAGCCGCTCTGACACTGGCATTAGCTTGCATGTCTTTGTGATTGTGGTTGGAGTGTCCTTGGTGCAGAATCACACTTAGCCTGAAAGAGAGAAGGGTGTTCTTGGCACATGAGATTAGCCCTTGAAAACCTATGCAGCATAATGGAGAGTTGGCAAGAACATGTATTATGCAGGGTCGCAGAGAGTTGAAATATTAAGGCTGTAAAATGTCCTATTTTGGACTAATTTTGAAAACACATGTACCATAGAATTTTAAATTTGTACACAAGGACAGACAACAAAAGTTCACCTCGGTTTTCTCTTCCATCTACCCAGTGCTACTCTGGTTCACATGAAAACTGGCAATCATCCCTCCCTAGATGAAACAATTTGACAATGAGGAGAGGAAATACCATTTATTGAGGGTCTACTGAATGTTGGGCGCTAAGCTAGGCTTAAAGCTGAGCTTTGGTGGGAGCTAAATTAAACATACTGGTTTCAAATGCAAAAAGCGGCATAAGGGGTAAAACAAAATAAGAAAATATCACCAAGGTCAGATTTTTAAAAATATTTTATTTTACTCAATTTTGTGCATTTCTGTGAGAACTTAAAAATCTGAATAATTTTTTAGTGGCCAATGATGATAGTCATGTGTTTGTATATATGTAGCTATTAACAAGAAACTAAAATATATTAATATATTTTAAATATATGTGTGTAAATATGTATGTAATTTAACATGCAAATGTATATAGAAATGTACATATATAAACATATGTATATTTTATATGGTCCTAAGAGTATGAGCTGCGGCCTCATTCTCTATATATAACATACAGCAAAATTTAACATCTCCTATCCAAGTCAAAGAGATAAGTATTAGGCACTATAAATTATGTAACTGATTTTATTTTGGAACAAAGGTTTTAAAAAAATGATTGTTTAGTACCACATATCCCAGTCTATTTGTTGGTAAAGTATCTGTTAAATCTAAGGTCATCACCACAAAGTGGAATGACTGCCATCCAGCAAGATTTGATCATTACATAATGTACAGCTTTTAGATGGTTGCTGCTTGGGCAGAAATTCACCCTTGATTGATAGTTACCACTTAAGAATCTTCAGACAGCCTGATATAGCTCACAGTTAAACATACTCTCTTTCTAGGTCTATTCATGTGTGCTTATCATATTGTCATTCATTCTTTTACTCATTTTATTAAAAAAAAAAAACAACTTATGTAGAGGCTCTTGTGTGCCAGGCACTGTTAAATGCTTGGGGTATTAAAGGTGAGTGAAAGAGACACGGTCCCTCCCCCAAGTAGCTTTAAGAATGATGGAGATGGCAGAGATTTTAAAAAGACCCAGATAAATAAAAATTCTAATCTTAGTAGGTGTACTAAGAACTGGGTACTCTGGGTAACACAACAGGGAAGTCTGATTTCGTTAGACAAAGAAATTGAGTTGGATTCAAAAGGTTATGGTAGAGTTAAATTACAGGCTGGAGGGGAGAGAATGTTTCAGGCAGAGAAAACAGCATGCGACAGCCTTAAGGCTCTATTAATAATCTTTGTCCTAGGATCCCTTTGCAACTTCTATTAGAACCTTCTGTCCTGATTTTGGGTCTCCACGGAATAGATTTATTCCCAAACTATAGTTCTGATATTTCTGTATTCAGACAACACAGCATTTAGCAACACTTGAAACCTATAATCCTGGTTCTGGGAGAAAACATTATAGTCACTCAGTATCTTTATCCATAAATGACTACCTATTTGCACAGGGAAGTCACCACTTTTCAATTCCCTTGCCTTTGTAAGTATGAGAAACACCTGCAGCGTTAAGGTCAAAGTTCAAAAGCAGTTGCAGTAAAAGGAAAATTTGGATGGTATCTATTTAGAAAGTCAAACTTGATCATCAAGTTTCTAGATGTATGCGGTAGTTAGCTAGGTGTATCCTTCATACTCATGTAGCATCGACACAACCTATGTGACATATGACTCTCATGAAATTATTAATATTTTCATTTTCCCTGCTGGACATATTGTTCTCCTTATGCAAAGACAATGTTATTGACCCCCAGTCAGCAGCACATGTGCTCTGCCTTATTTGTCTCCTTGTGGTGATAGATTTGCATTGATCTCCACACACTTTTTCTCCTGGTTCCAATATGAAACACATTTTCAAGTTAGCTGGATGGAAATAGGAATCTACTCAATAATAGCAGTCAAAATACCACTCTTCTAATTGTTTAGCTCAGAGATTTCAAGCAATGATTTACACACTAAGAGGTAAGGAACTGAGGCAGGCATAAGGTAAGGAGATTAGAGTGACCTGAGGAGCTTTTTCAAAATGTACACATTCAGAATTTCCTCTAATACCAGGGATTCCACTGTGCCCTCTCTTAAAAGACACTCTTTAAAATTCGATTCTTCTATCACTGTCTTCTTCACTTTCATGTATAAGCTCACCTCATAGCATGTGTCATGTTGCATTGCAAGATAGATAATACATAGTATGTATGAGTCTTTTTTTTTTTTCTGCTATAACAAGTTACCACAAAGCTTTTGTGGTTAGAACAACATAAATTTATTATCTTATAGTTCTGGAGGTCAGAAGTCTAAAATGGGTGTGCAGGACTGCATTCCTTATGGAGACTCTAGGAGAGAATTCATTGTCTTACCTTTTCCAGCTTCGGGAGGTCACATACATTCCTTGGCTCCAGGATCCTTTCTCTATCTTCAAAGCCAGCAATACAACATCTTCCCTTCACTCTGACCTCAAGTGTCCCTCTTATTTACAAGAACCTTTCTGGTCACATTGGGCCTGTCTGGATAACCCAGGATAATCTCCCCATCTCAAAATCCCATCCTTAACTTAATCACATTTGCAAAGTTCCTTTTGCTATGTAAGTTAACATACTTAGAAGTTCCAAGGATTAGAATGTGGAAATCTTTGAGGGACCATTATTCTGTCTACCATAGATGACTAATAGGTAGGTAGGTAGGTAGATAGATAATACAGTTTTAAGTAGGGTTGCCCAGAATCAAGCTATCAAATGGGAAGGAGCCAAACAACCAAAAAAGATCAAAGGCCTGGTCTCAGAACCCCCTGTCATAAACAATCAGCTCATTTGGGTAAGAGAAGAGCAATGTGGCAATGATCACGTGTCCAGTAAGACATCACATGTCTCATAAGAATGAATTAAGACTGCCTGGATAAGAGAATGGACCAACAGGTGGAAACTAAAGAGAGAGTTTAGGAGAGAGTTTAGCTAATGCAGCTTAAGAAGGAATTTTCGTGCAGTCACAATGATGCAAAGATAAAATAGGCTGCTTTGGAGAAAAATAAATTCCCTGTTATTAGTTCTGTTAAAATATATGACACTAATGACTATTTTATAGGGATGTTGCAAAAGAGAATTCAAAAGTAGGAAGGGAACTGAAGTAAATAAAATTTAAGGTCCTTTCCAGCCCAGCCCTCTGGGAACCCATAATGTGTTCATGTAACAAAAACTAAGTAGGAATAAGTCATATCCCATATGGAACCATCAATATGCATGAGAGAGCAGACTGGCTAGGAGCTCGATTCTGGGCCTAGTGGATCTAGATTCGGATCCTGGCTCTTCACTATCTCATTGGCAATTTATTCACTTTACCATCTTCACTAGTAGAGAAATTAAACAAAAACAAACAGCATCAACAGAAACCCCACCACCTGCGTCCACACAGGGTTCAAGACAAGCTTTATGGGCAGTGTGTGGGGTGACTTACATAATGTTAGCTGCCACAGCACAGCCTGAAACAATGATCATCACAGTCGCCTGGATCTGGTAATCAGGGTAGAGCAGGCGTTCACATGCCAGGTACACCAACACCCCAGTCAGCACCCAGACGCACAAGATGGACAGCAGGGCACCAAGGATCTCTAGGGATTCAAGCACACAGACACCCATACACAAAGACTTTGTCAATCGCCTTAACCTCCCAAGAGTCATAAGACATTCCTGTTCCTTGACGTACCCCCCTCCCCTCAAAGAGGCTTTAAACTAGTTCACTCAGTGATTCACAAAGCAGAAGTGTGGATGGGTTTTAGCACTAAGATGAGACACTTCAATGTTGCGTTCATAAAACACCAGCGTCTGAGTTCATTATGCTCCATATTACTAAGTAATTTCTAGCAAATTTTTAAAGCATATTAATCGCTCTCTGCCATTGCTGTTTTCCTTGGGGATTTTAATTTAAACAGGTGCTAAAATGATTGAAATTTATTAGGAGATGAAATAATGAGACACAGAGAGTAAAATGTGTTTAGAAATTCTTAATTTCGTCACAAAACATTTACAATTTGTCAGTACTGGTACCTTGTGTGGAATAAAATAGTCACAAGGGAAGGCTTCAGAGGGTACTTGATGAAAATGAGTTTCACTTGCCAGCCCAGTGTATTATAAACACAGAGGCAAGCTCAGAGGTATATCAACACTCTGACGGCATTTTAAGAGCAACTATATGGAAAATAAGTATGAGTGGAGACATTTACATTAATATTTAAAAATAAGATAGTGTTCAGTCTGCAGGCCGAGTAAAGCACCTTTGCTCACTTAAGAGTTCCTTAACATCTCACCCTGATCTTTAACTTAACCTTGTAGGTAGGTACTAAAAGCCTAGGAGGGTCTAGAAATCTGGGACTCAGTGGCCAGGCACATTTGGTACTTTTGGCCTTCCCTCTTTTATTTTATTTTATTTATTATTATTATTATTATTATTTTTAAAGATTTTATTTATTTATTTGAGAGGGAGAAAATGAGAGACAGAGAGCACGAGAGGGAAGAGGGCAAAGGGAGAAGCAGACCCCCTGCCGTGCAGGGAGTCCGATGTGGGACTCGATCCCGGGACTCCAGGATCATGACCTGAGCCGAAGGCAGTCGCTTAACCAACTGAGCCACCCAGGCGCCCTGGCCTTCCCTCTTTTAAAGCAGAACAGTGTAACATACTGTTTTCCTAGTGTGGGGCTATTGTTTCCCAGACTTTGGTCATTTACACACAGCCTTCATGATTGTAACCACATCTGCATGCCACCTTTCTCATTAGCCACTTATATTTTTTTAATAAATTTATTTTTTATAACTTAGCTTCTTCCTAAACAAAGCCATCCATGAAATTACATGTGTGACAAGCTAGTTCATTTTCACCTATACGTCTCTAACAGGGCTGCCTCATATGGTAACCATCATCACATGTGACTGTTTCCATTTAAATTAAGTAAAATTAAAAATCCGGTTCTTCAGTAGCAGTAGCCACATTTAAAGTGCTCTATTAGGGCGCCTGCATGGTTCAGTCGGTTGAGCGTCCGACTCTTAATCTCAGCTCAGGTCCTGATCTCAGGGTCGTGAGTTCAAGCCCCACGTTGGGCTCCATGCTAGGCGTGGAGCCTACTTTAAAAAACTAATAAAATTTAAAAGAAAATAAAGTGCTCTATGGCCACATTATACTCTATATTATGGAACATTTCTCTTGAAGCAGAGAGTTCTAGTGAACAGCACTGGTCTTCTAGAGCATCAGTGCTCATGGGCTTCCATCACCGGGATGAGAAAATACAAGCAGTATTCTAAGTTCTCTCTGTGTTTACAAAACAGCTTTGATATATAGTATCAGAATGGGGAAAGTACATGTAAAAATATATACAGAAAAATGACAGGTGCGCAGCCAAAGATACGTGTTTTCCAAGCATAGCACTGTTCAGGGACTGAAAAGCATCTTCAGATCACATTGTCACAAATTCTTTTTATTGATGTTTATTGCCTCATCTCTCACTCTCCCTCTCCTTCTCTCTGCATGTTAAAGGATAGGCAATTCAAAACACTTGTGATGATAAATTGTTTGGTGTGAAATTAGAACTTCCTACCAGTTAAGCTTGAAAAACCACAGCCCACATTGTCAGTGTATAAGTTGTGGTCTGTATCTAGAGGCAGCTTTCAATGAAGGCTGACCATGTCAGCGTGTTGTCCACCCTTGCTCTGCCCTAAATTCTCCTTCCCATTCCATTCTTGACTTACCTGTGAGAAGTTCTTCAATCTCTCCAGCTGTCCTGGGCTCTCTGTACCTTAGTTTGCAAAATGGTAGAAGCTTTATCCCATCCTCCCTCCCAGATGCAGAGTAGCTTAATGAATGGTCTCGTGGCTATTCCTGTACACTGAGACCCTTGGGCTGGGGCGGTTGCTAAAGCGATACAGGTGTTCTTGTTGTCCTATTGCAGTAGAGGTAGTGCAATTAATCTGGCTTTTTGCCAAATCAACATTGAGAGCACGTGTTCCCATGCATACATCCTTTATATTCCTTGCACCGATGTGCCTCTAAGGGATTTTCGAACAAGGCTTTGCTTTGTTTCTTCTGTTTTTATCCTTGGTCTGACTGCACAGCTACTTTGCCATTAATGCTCAGTGGGTGAACTGTACCTGCCCGGTGCCATCCAAATGTCAGCTGCTTCGAAGGGGGCTTCGATGACAACCACAAGGAGAAGAGACTGAGCAGGAAACTGGTCAGGTCAATTAAGAGATGGGCAGCGTCTGTGATGACAGCAAGACTCCCAGCAACGTGCCCACCTAGGGGATGCAGAACATTACGTGGGATTAGGGCCCCAGAATGCAACTAGTTTCACACGCGTACTAACCACAGTTGGTGAAAGATGCCACAGACTCATAAAACTTTATAAGAAAAGGTCTTAACATGGATTCAGTCTACCTCTTCTTCCCAATTTGACAAAAAACTGACACCCAGAGAGTGTGTAGGATGTGAGCACATAGAAATGGATTTCAGGGGAGCGGCCATTCCTCAAAGAGCAAAGGGGCAGAGACTGGAAAGTGTGGGACACGTCTAGAGAACGTCCCAGTTAGATGGGGACATAAGAGTTCAAAAAGAATATGAAAAGATGAGGCTGGAGAGGTGTAGGCTGGGTTTGAAGAATCTTGCTCTTAAGGCTGAGGACCTGGGCTTCTGTCTGTAACCTAGGGGTTGCGGTCTGGCACACAGCTGTGTCTGCATTTGACTTGTGATTTTACTATCATCTTCACCACTTCCTTCTGCTCTACTAATTTGTATTATCCGCCTGAGTTCAAGACCCCTATTATGAATAGTGGGGAGCAGTAAAGGAAAGGGCTGGGGTCCTTGACTGTAATTACAACCCAATAAAGCATAGGAAGACAATGAATCATAGAACACTACATCAAAAACCAATGAAGTACTGTATGGTGACTAACAACATAATAAAAAAATTAAAAATTTAAAAATTAAAAAAAAAAAAAAGCATAGGAAGAGAACCCAAACCATGGCAATCCTGCCTTGCCTTTCTTTCTATTTGGTTTGCCTTCTCTACCTCCTTCTAGTTCCCCTTCGAGAAAAGACCTCCAGCCTCCAAAATAGAAGTTAGAAGAAACTTCTGTCTCTTCCTTCCCAAACAGGGCTCCTTGTTGGAGATCAATCTGGATTGCTCTTACTACTTCTTCCCCCCCAAAAAAGAGGTATTGCTGACCCATTGTCCTCCCGGCAGCTGTTTATTGCCTGTGTACGATGAGGCAACAGGGACTATCAGTCACCAGCCCCTCCATCATCAGACTCACCTTGTCTCAACTAATGATTTTTAAAAATCACATATATGGCTCATAATTGCAATAATCCCCACAGACCACTGGCTCTAGCTGTAGTTAATATCTGGTTTGTCAAAGTTTAATGGTCTGAAACAAAGTAGTCTCAAGCTTGTTACTGAGCTGTCAGTGCAAAAAAATCAGAATGATTCATTAGCCAAAAAGCAACATTTTGCTAACAAATCAGCTTTTCTTCCAGTTATTCTCTAATGTTGCTCTATCTGCCAAACTCGGGTCTGATAATAAAGCTGTGTTAATAATGCATTATTTCTTACATGAAGAATGGCTACATGCAGATTAGCAGCCGTCCACCATCTCAGCAAAGAACGATGGTGACAATTCCATGTGCTGGGCTCAAATTGTAGCCTAAGTCAAGGAAATGGAGTCCTATAGGGGTTCTTCAACAGGCTCAGCTGAATCAGGAGGCAACTGAGTGGGAAAAAGAACTTGCTTTGGAAGAAGCATATTTATATGGAGGCCCGGGAAGTGAGAACCAGTTTGCAACCATCATTGCTACTTATAAGAATAGCCCAGAAAACTGTGAGCAATCATGCTGAATCCTATGGAGAAAACTGTGTGCAAGAGGTAGTTTCTGACTGAACTTGCATTTGCTTCTGAAAGCATGGGGTATTATTGACAATGAACGCAGCCATCCAGCCCGTATTTATTGAGCCCTTGCTGTGTGCGGTACAGGGATGGGGTATACAAAGATAAACAGAGTTAAACACATCACAGTCTCTGTCTTCAGTGATCTCATTGTCCAACATGCACTGTACTGGAGACATGTGTGGTGGGCTAGAGGATCAGACAACCACTCTCCTTGGGAGCATTGAGGAAGTTTTCACAGAGGGAGGGGTAAGACTGAGCTAGAGGGGAGGGGAAGGGTTTTTCAGGAAGAGGCAAGAGCAGGAACAAAAACAGAAATGAAAGAAGATGGTGCCATTGTGGAAAAGCGAGAGGAGTGGAGTGTTGGAGGAATAATCAGAAATAAGAGTGGAGACATGGGTTGGGGACCCACTTGTGGGAAACTATGTCAGGCTAAAGAATTTGAATGTTATCCTATGAGATGGGGGAATCTACTATGATTTTGAGGCGAGGTTGTGACATACTCAAATCTGTACTGAAGAGAGAGATCCTTGCTGGCAATGTGGAGGCTGACCTGGAGCGAGGAGAAGCTGGAGGTTAAGGCACAACAGTAAGAGCCAAGGAAATATGAGGAAGGCATGAAGGAAGGCAGGAGCACTCATTTATGGATTACTGACAAGATGGAGAAAGCAGTGTACTGATAACAAGATAGGAGAGGCACTAAGGACTAAATTCCTGAAATGCACTCTTCTGAGGGCTTGTGGGGTAAGAGGACATCAGCGTAGCCATTGGGCCTGTATGTCATACTCACCTCAGGTTCAGAGAGTGGATGTTAAGTACACATGACATGCTCTGTGGAGAACAGAGACATACCAACTGGAATGAAAAAAGCAAATATCTCTCTGACAACATTGGCCTGTGTCCCATTACTGGATGACACCACTCTCTGCTATTAATTCATATTTTTTAAAATCCTTTAACTATCTTATGAATAGCATTATTATGCTATATAATCCTATATAATAGTATATTAATAATAATAATGTATCATAATAGCATACTATAAAAACAAAATTATACTATCAAAAACTCAATGCATGGAGTTATTACTTAACAAGTATTTAAAACACACCACAGTTTGCATAGGTGTGTTTGGACACTTCTCTAGGAGAAGTTCTGTACTCTGAGGTACTTACTATCTTCCCCAGCCCGCTCCCAGCCCTGTTTTCCTGTCTGGCAACCTCCTGCGTCCTCCATCTGTGCTTCACACTCTAAATAGTCCTCCTTCAGGATGTCTCTCTCTGACCGTTCTCAGTTGCTTCCAGCAGTGGCCATGCTTGAGCTGATTTTTTGAGCTTTCAGTATCTATATGTCTGTCTTTTTAAATAGGGATACATGTTTACATATGCATGATAAGGCCTTTCCATAATTAGGAATTTTCACAAGCCATCAGAAAGACTCCCAATTCAACAGGTTCAAAGGCCCCTTGACAGTAGACACACTAATGCTCATAGCCTTCTTTAATTCCTTCCACCAATCTGCTCTGTGGCCAATTCTCTTTCAAAACACAGCCCTTTGACCTGATTCTCCCCTGTTCTAAATGTCAGTTATTCTGCAAGGCCTCCAGATTTAATCCAGATTCTCCAGTCAAGCCTCATGGTCTTTCTTGAACCCCAGCTACCATTCTAGTTCTATTCTGCACTTGTTCTGTTTTATCTTACATCACTGACTTTGGTAGATCTTTCAGAGGTCCAGTTGTAAGTCATAAATGCCTAACTCAAACTGGCTTCAACAACAACAACAAAATGATAATTTATTGGCCCAAACAACTGAGAACAAACCAGGGTGAGATTGGATCAAGTGCAGCCTAATCCTAAGGTTCAAAAAACATTTGGGGGGCTCTGCTCTGTCTCTAACTATTGCTATTTATTGTCTTACTGAAGACAGACTACCTCACCCTTAGCAAGAAGGGTTGGACTTGGGAAGCTCCAGGTTTATATCATTTCAGCAGAGTATTTGTGGAGGATAGCAAGCTTCCCCCCTCCCTGCCCTGCCCAGCCTCTCTATGAAAAAGACCCAGAAACTGAATAATCTTGCTTGGCGTCTCATGCCCAGCCTTGCCTCTGAGCGTGAGTTTCTTGGTCCAGGAGGACCAGAACTGCAGCCAGCACAGAGTAGGAGGAAGCTTCTGGAACAGGCAATCCTTGACCACTACAAACAGTGGCCCCCAAATGTAGCTACACATCAAGAATCACTTGAATTTCTTTCTAAGAATACAGATTTCCTGTCCTATTGCCGACCCACCCACTTAAAATCTTTCCAAGCAAGGCTGATATTTGGTACCTCCTGGACCACAGTAGTTATCAGGTGCTGCTCATCAGGGCCCTCCCTCTGGAAGGCCTTTTTCATCTCCCTCTTAGCCATCTTTCGATTCCTACACAAACTTTAAGGCCTGTCTCAAATCCCATACCCTGTATGAGGACCTCCCGGATTCCCAAAAGTGACCTGAGAATAAGAATCGCTTTCTCTGACCTGGTCAAGAATGGCTTTAGGTGAGGTCTGGTTGGGGTCTTGAATGATGATCAGGGTTTTGATGAGTGCAGGGAATGAGGAGAGGCACTTTCCATTCAAATAAAAAGACATAAGCAAAAGCTACAGAGACTTTAAGATACAATGCTATTTTGCACAGGATGGATTAACAGCTGAAACAGAAGAGTCATGTTGTGACATAGTAAAAGAAAGAGACTGATAGTCGGTTTGGCAGCCAGATGATGGAATGACTTGAAAGTCAAATTTTCCAGAATGCCAGAAAGTTCGAATACATTGATCTCTTTTCACTTGGGGTAGCCCAGTGAGCCCAAGCACAGAGGGAGCCCCTGAACCACCCTCTCCCTGCTACAGCACGCTTGTGGGTCTACCCCAGTACTCAGTAAGGTGTCTTGTGCTTGCCGTGATGGGGGAAACGTTGTGAAGCACTGAACTAGGCAAAGAGGAACCATTGAAGAATTCTGAAGACAGATTTAACATGATGAGAACAATGTTTTAGGGAAATCAGTTCAAAATCAATGCAGCTCAACTTCCCAATGAGTCTGTCAGTATCCATTTAATTCCTGTCCTGACAACATCACTTTCTTCTGGCTCTAAACTGAAGCCAGATTAGAACTTATAGACTAATTAATTATTAAGAATGAGAGGGAAGAGGGAGATTGATTGGCTCGCTCCAAGTGAATAGTTTTTCATCCCCCCTCCCCTAAAAATAAAAGTTATCTTGAAGCAACATGACAGGGCATAGGAAAGGTACAAGGAGAAAAGTGAGTTTTATGAATGGGAGACCATCTCATGATTAGACATCAGCTGGGGAGAAGATGCCCTCTGTTCTCAGCATCTACATGGATTCTGGGGAAAGCAGAGGAAGAAAGGAGTAGAGAAAACAAGCCAGTTTATACATCTTGCTGAGCCGTGTTTGCATGCAGTGGTGCCAATGCTTTATCTGGAGAGCTATGAATTTCCAGAACATCACCTTTTTAAGCCACATTTTGAATAGGTTCTGTTCTTAAAATTTTCCATTTTATCCATCTCTTACATGAGCAATAGAATACTGTCCATGATCTTATGAATTTAACTAATAAGAAGACATATACATCTGGCATAAATGTCAGTGGATTTTCCAAGTGAATTTTCAAATTGGAACTACTCAAAGTAAATTCCTTGCAACTTCATCAAGCTATTAATTCGGTTCCTTCAAAAGACTTACCCTGGTATGGTATCAGTTATTTTTATAATCTTTGACTGGAAAATTATTTGTCAACCCTGGATTTTTCTTGGACTGGATGAGTCTAAGTTCTTTTCCAGTTTTCAAAAGGTATAAAAGTCTGAGTGGATAAATAGGCTATAAGACTCCAGAGGTTTAAGAAACCAATTAATTCCGATTGTTAGCTCTGATAGTGCAAAACCAAACCAAGCCAAAACAAAACAAAACAAAACAAAGACAAAAACATAGCAGGTTCTGTTTTCCTGAACATGAGCCCCTGGATTCAGACTGCCTTCCTCCAGTCTTGGATTATTATTAATTTAGCCCACCTTTTGGGTAACAAAAAATGAAGCCAAAATATTGGTAAGAGTGTAACAGGTAATTGTGGTAATGGAGTAATAGTAGCTTATGAGACTGTATGCCAGGTAGTTCCTAGTGTTCTTTTTTTTATTTTGGGGGTAGAAATAATAAATAAGATACATTGCATATCAAAACTTTTAGACTAAGTTCATAGTTAAACATAATTTTCTCATTAATAAAAAGAAAGGATAAAAATAATCAGAGAAGGGCGCCTGGGTGGCTCAGTCATTAAGCGTCTGCCTTCAGCTCAGGTCATGATCCCGGGGTCCTGGGATCGAGTCCCACATCGGGCTCCCTGCTCGGCAGGAAGCCTGCTTCTCCCTCTCCCACTCCCCCTGCTTGTGTTCCTGCTCTTGCTATGTCTCTCTCTGTCAAAAAAAAAAAAAAAAATCAGAGAAGGATATAACTCAAGATATTAAAATATGCAATAAGATTACAACCCTGAAGAAAGATGGAGGAAACAACAAATATTTTTAAAGCCAAAACTGTGAATTAAAAACAGAGGAAAAATTTAGATAATAATATATTCAATATGTATATATATACACACATATAAATAATGTAAATAAACTAGACACCTACCAAGTTAAATGAAGGAAAAGAAAATATATAAGCAATATTAAAATGAGAAAGAAGCTAGACTAAAGAAGAGAATATTAATATGAAATTGTCATGTTCCAATGTATGAAAATAAATTGGAAAATTTCAATGAGATGGCTGACTTTGGAAAAACATAAATGACCAAAATTTACTAGAGAAGTAGAAATTTTGAGTACATCAAAAAATGAGGAAGAAGCTAATAAATATATTTTTAAAATTGTTTCCAAGAATGTCTCCAAAGCTAGACAATTTGCCAGGGATCTGTTTTAAAAAAGGAAGATATAATTACAGAGTTATATAAATCATTTCCATTTTTTTAATTAAAAAAGAGGTATCATTAAGACTAAACTTTTCATTTTAATATGCATAACTCTAATTCAAAAACTTAGGAAAATAGCTCCAAACAGAAACTATCAATTTCAATTATCAATAAAGATAAAAATTCCTAGTGAAAATATGAGTGACCCAGATTGAGCAGTGCATTGAAAGAATGTTCCACCACAGTGAATTTGAGAGGCACAGCTTAGGAACATGAACCCCTGAATTCAGACTGCCTGCCCACTTAAAGTACTTTTTGCATTTCAGGTTCCTCATCTATATAGTGCAACTAATTATAAGAGGACCTACCTCTCAGGGATTTTGACAGGATTAAGTAAGGTAACATAATGACAAGCACTCCTCACAGTTCCTGGCACATAATAAGCATTAATTAGATATCAGTTATTATTATCAGAATGCCAGAAATGCAAAGACTGTATTATATTTGGAAATCTCTGAATATGAAACACATCAACAATGTGTCAAAAAAATTTTAACAGAGTATGTTTAAAGGAAAATATACTTGATAAAAATCAACAAGTATCCTTAATTATTTGTTAATCATTTAAGAACTTGGGAAAAAACCCACTTCATTCATAGAATGAAAATACTTTACCTCTCAGGAAACATTTCACTTAAATAGTTGAACAGAAGATTTGATTTAGCATAAAGTATTATTTAACATGATAAAAATATGAAACATACAGAAGAGATATAATTATTGAAAAAGAAGAGAAATATGTTTTTTGCATGAGAGTGTTATCTCCTAGGAGGGGGAAGGATGGATGAGAGAGGAACAAAGAAAATAGGTTGAGATACATTTAGAACAAAAAGACTGCAAATACACTGATTAGTATAAAATGAATATGCAAAATGGAAAACATTCGAGAATATCAAAAGTAACCACCTAGAAAAGAGGACGTGCAAAAAGGAAGACCCCACTCACCTCTGGAAAGAATAAACCAAACACATCTAAATAACCTTGGCAAGAAATAGTCTGCCCCTGTATTAAAACAAATAAGCTAACTAACTAAAATCACAAAACAAATGAGAGATGTAGAGTATTTGGATAAATGGAGAGACATACCATATTCCTAGAGGAGAAAACTGAGTATTTTAAAGAGATTTGTGTTTCCAGATTAACTTACATACCAGTAAAATCACAATCTGATTTTGGAGAGAACTGAACACAATGGTTCTCATGTATTAGAATAATAAACAGAAGTAAATGGATTTTTCCTTTTTTCTGTTAAACAAGGAATAATGAGGAAAGAACAACAAATATTATAACATATAAATCTATGTTAATTAAATATGTTACTAGTAACAGAGAAGAACAATACAGATCAATGAAACACCTTAGAACCAAGCCATTATTCTTTTATAAAATATTGATAAATGATTAAAGAAACATCAAAAATCAATGGAAGGAATAATTAATTATTCCAGAAATAATGCTGAAAACTGTTACTTAGAAAAAGAATTTGTAGTCCTTAGAGCATATCTAATCCCACAATGATTTAAAATTAAATGCAAAAAATTGAACAACAAAATGATATTTATTTTCTCAGTAGATAGGGACCAAAGCACTAAAATAGTGAAAGAGCAGGGCACCTGGGTGGCTCAGTCATTAAGCGTCTGCCTTTGGCTCAGGTCATGATCCTAGGTTCCTGGGATCGAGTCCCACATCGGGCTCCCTGCTTGGCAGGAAGCCCGCTTCTCCCTCTCCCACTCCTCCTGCTTGTGTTCCTGCTCTCGCTGTCTCTCTCTGTCAAATAAATAAATAAAATCTTTAAAAAAATAAAAAATAAAAATAAATAAAATAAAATAGTGAAAGAGCAATAAAAGAAGTTAGCTCAAAATGGAATGTTTGGTACAATTACATATATAAAATTTAAAACTTTTCTACATCAAACCAAAAATTAAAAAGTAAACAATAAACTGAATAAGTACTTATAACAAATATAAAAAGTTCAATATCCTAACTATATAAAGAGCTCCCAGAGATCAACATAGAACATTATAAATTATCTAAAAAACAAATGAGCAGGAGACATTAAGAGGCAAGCAGGAAATGCATCAACAAAGGGAAATATAGATTACTAATAAGCATGCAAAAATATTCTAACAGTAACAAAAAAATGAATAATAAAATAAAGCATATTAACCTATACATTAACAAAGATTTTTAAAAGATTAAAATAAGTTCTGGTAAAGATTTGGAGAATTATTCTTACATACAGCAGGCAGACATATGAATTGTTTTAAACTTTCTGGATAGCAGTTTGGCAATATGCATCAAGAAGTAATAAAAGTATTTATGTCCTTCAGTCAGTTTTTCCACTGTTAGGAATCTCTTTCAAGGGATTAACCAGAGAGGCAGCGAGACTCTTATTCATGAGTTTTCACTGCAGTATTGTCCACAGCAGGAAAAAACAAAAAACAAAAAAAAAAAACCACCTCCCTAAATTTCTAACAATAGGGAGATGGTTATATAAATCACAGTGGAGCATATTATAGAATATTATTCAGGCATAAAAATGTTTTTGAAGAGTATTTGATGGCATGGTCAAAAGCATTCAGTATGCTCTCAGTTATGTTAAAAAAAGTTATGTTAATAATAACTATTGAGTTATGAATAGAAAAATATATTGTACAAAAATACTCCACAATGTTATTAGAGGTTATTACTCAAATGTGGGATGGTGATGAATTTTATTTTGTTTCCTAGTATTTTCCACCTTATCTATAATGAGCATATTGTTACTCAGTACTTACAAAAAATATGAAATCTTTCTTTCAAAGGAGAACTTCTATAACCCTTCTGCAGTGATGTGGGGTTTTGTTTGTTTGCTTGTTTAATCAGAGAAATCTCTTTAAGTAATACTCACCCACGACCTCTGCAATCATGAAAACGAAGCATATTCCCAAAGCAGCACAGAGTTTCCACTTGGCATAGACTTGCTCGTTTGCTCTGTTCTCTGTGGCCTTGGAGTTGTTGTGACAGTGATAGATGGCTCCTGACTCCAGCTCCTCTGGCTTCTCTCCAGGACATTGATCTTTATTCAAGGATTTCTGCTGGAGTTCCACACTATGGTTGAGTTTGACAGAAGCAAGAAGTGAACATGGTTGCAAATACCTCACTGACAACCCTGCCCATTCTCAGAACTGATAGTAGGACATCTGCTAACTAGCTGGCAAGTTGCTGTTCACAGCTCCTTCCACAAGAAATATCAAGTGTAAGGAACAAGCAAGAAATTTCCTTCTGAATTCTCAACTACTAAAGGTTTTGCTTTTATTCAGTCAAGGTCTTATTCAGTCTCTACCAGCAGTGATTAAGAGATGTCAAAGGAACAGGAGAAGGGAAGCAGATACACTTTGATGCATTTCCTTCCAAATTACTGCACTTTGAAAAGATTTTGGACCCTGTGTTACAAATTTAAAGGGGGGGAGGCAGGGCAATGTTGGATATGTGCGTAGGAGTCAGCTTGATGATTCAAATACTCACTATTAAATGCCAAAACTCTTCCTTTCTTCTCCACAGCAACACTGTTAATAGATCATAGCACTTTCTCCTGCTGAGTCCACGTGGACTCTCAGAAACCCTCTTAACACAGCTTTGCAGACAATCTGTCTCAATCTATCAAAGCTGTATTGGGAGTCAAACTTGCTTATACTTCCTGAAGCAGGCAGTACCTATTAGTTCCTCTCAAATATAAAGCATTATTTAGAGCCATGTATAGGGCTCTAGAATTTCATAGATGAAAAGATTGTAGATACCATTCAGTCCAATCCCATAGTTTCTTAGCTGAAGTAATCAAGGTTCAGAGAGGTTAAGTAATTGTCTGAGGCCAAATAACCAGGAAACGGCAGAACTGGGATTCTAAACCTAGTATTTTTTCCACTGGGCTCCACCCCACCTCCCTCCCTAAACTTCGATACACCTGAAACCAATCTCTACTGATGCCAATATCAATATCCACGGATCTTGAGCCCATCAGACTTCCATTTTTTAAATAAACTTATTAGAAGACATTAATAAGATTCTTAGAATTAGGAACTTAGCATTCATGACTTTGAAGGGTATAAGAAGAAAAATAAATCCACCTCCACTTGAAGAGCTAGTTCATTTGTCTTATCCCCATCTGGAATTAAGGGTCTGAAGGTTTTGGTTTAGATGATGGTAATTATTATGACCCTACTTATCATTATATTTGGGTTTTTCCCGAATAAACTAAAGTATATATTCATTACAAAAAGTCTAGAATTACAGAAAAGCACAAAGAAAAGGGAAAAATCACTGGTAATCTTACCTCCAAAAGACAACTGTTACTGATATTTTGTTGTTTAGATTTGTGACATATAAACACACTTTTTTTTACATAATCAGAGTCCATAATTAGGGTGTTTTTGGTTACAAGTACTGAAAACAAAGCTCATGCTATGAAATGGGAATTATTGGTTCTGCAACTGAAAGCATCTAGATGTATCAGGCTTTAACCTGATTTAGGAAGACACCAGAGGCATTGCTCTGCATTCTCAAGTACACTTTAACCGCAGGCTGGTTTCCCTCATGGTAGTGGAATGGTTGCCCTAGGTAATCACAGCTGTGCACCTGCCTTTTCTTATACAGGCAGAGAGAGTGTCCATTCTCAACTCCTAAACAAGAGTCCTGAGTCGCATGCTGATTTGGCCAAATGAGAGGAATATGGCCAGAGGAATATGGATGGGCTAATTGGCTTAGACCTTGTTATAATCAGAATGGCTAAACCCTACCATGCTGACACCTGGAGCTGAGATTGGGGTAGATGCTACCCAAATCTTATGGCTGCAACTCTGTGGGGAAGGGCTGGAATGGGTTATGGATGAAATGACAATGTCACCATAGGATCCTACCAAAGATACAGCTTTGGAACCTGATTCTTAGCTATATGTATTGTTGACGTTTTCTCAATTTATTAAATATTCTACACTATTATGTTTAACATAGAGAGAGCACTGTATTTAATATAAATATGTCATACATAATGAACTGATTTCCTATTATTAAACAATTCATTCTTTTCCAATTATTTGCTCATATAAATGGGGCTGTTGATCTTTATAGTTAATCTTTACTCAATATATTATTATCTTCTTAAAATGTAACCCTAAAAGGGGAATTGTCTGGTCAAGAGGTATCTACATTTTTAAGGATTTTGGTATATATCGCCAAATTGACTTTGGAATGTTTGTACTGATGATATTAATAACACTCAGGATTTTGAACATACCCTGATAATAAAAAATATATCATGTAGCAGTGTGGATCACCAATGGCCATCAAATCAGGAGCCTGAGAACTAAAAATAAAGCATGATAGAGGTTTCCTCTTCCTTTGTGCTAAGAAGGCAACATGAGCAAGACAGAGTCACCGATCATTCTGGCACTGTTCATTTGGCCACTGATTTGCTGAAGTCATAGGAAGATTTGCTTTATTTTATATTTTTCATGAATCTTGTGGCCAGAGAAAACCAGGTGGTAAGTGACCAGGAGAAAGAACTTATTCTGAAGCAGTGCAGAAGTCAAAGGCAGGAATCCTACTAAGGGCACAGCCTCCAGGGCAATGCCACAAGAAGAAATGTGCAAGAAACCTGGCCAATTTTTACCTTTGAATACTGCTTTATTGTCCTAGACTCTAAGATTAACCAATATGGATATACTTTGAGCTGAGATTGCTCCTTGAAATACTAAGCAGGAGATCCAAAGGTGGGCTTCAGAGGCTCCATTGAAATTGGATGCAATGTGTTCATATATGTGTTTGTGTGTGTTTTATGGGGGGATGCAAGAGCCCACAGTCTTCACTGGGCTCCTAAAAGTGTCTGTAATTCCCCCAAAACTTAAAAACCAAAATTAAAGTACATTTCTCATTACCTCATTAGAGCAAAGTGGTCTAGGTACCTATAGATGCAGAATAGGCTCTTACTCTAAAAAATGAATGTGAATCCTGAGAATTTTAAGAAGGTTATAAAAAGCAAATACTATGATGCATCAAAAAATGAATTATGAATAAATCTCCATAGATTCCCATGAATTCAAAGATGGTTGAAGTTCTGAAGAATAGGAATAATAGGCCAGAGCAGAGGAAGTTACTGTAGCATCAAAGAAAAAAAGGGGGAATAACAGGAGAAATAGGGAAATATTCAAAATTTTTCTTGCAATAGCCTACAACTTTCAGTTTATTTCTTAAAATACTAATTAGAGAATGGAGTTTTGTTTTGTGATCTTGGAGAAGTTTTTTTTTTCTTTTGTATTTTATTTTTGTTTGATGGTAGAAGTTAAACCACTTTGTTTCTGTGTCTCTAAAGTAGAGCTGGTAAAACTTTCACCCTCTTATTTCATATGTTGACTACATAAAATCACTTCTATTTTGCGCTTTCACATCACTTCTCCCAAGAACCTCAAATCACTATTCCTATGAGAAGAGGAGATGAAAGCTTAGGTCCCACTATGCATATCCCAATACCTCATGTATTCATTCATTCAGCAAATTTGTACTGCATCCCTGCAATGTGCCTACACTTTCAGAGATGCTAATTGATCCATGGTCTTTAAGACTAAGTTCCTGACCTCAGAAGCTTATATCTTAGCAGAGGGAGACAAACAGTAAGCCAGCCGATAGTCACAGAGGCTGTGTAGTATGATGGGTCAGTGATCAGGGAGTAAAGGTGGGACTACTTCAAAGAGAGTGGTAATGGGAGGCACCTCTGCAGAGATATCTCTACAGTGAGTTAAAGGATAATGGGAGTAGACCTACATGAAAGAGAAACATCACAAGTGGAGGGTATTGCTGGTGCAAAGGCAAAAAGGCAAGAAAGAGCCTATCCTGTCAAAAGCTAGCCTTGACAGAAAGGGAACTACGTAGGTGGCCACTGTGGGATGAAGAAAGTGATATTGGATGACATCAGAGAAGTAGGCAGAAGTTAGATCATGCAGAACTCTGTGAACCATTAAAAAGGGTTTCCTTTTCTTCAAGAAGGAAGTTGGAAAGTTTTAAGCAGGGAAGTAACATAATGTGGTTCACATTTCTAAAATGCTCACTTCAGGTGATGCTTGGAAGGCTTGAGCATAAAGAGGCAAAACATGGAGACCATTTAGGAGGTGGCTGAAGCAGAGATGCTGGCAATTTGGACCAGTGCAGTGACAAGGAAAAGGGGAAGAAGTAGCCATATTTGAGGGATGTTTGGGAGGTAGAATCAATGGGACTTACTAACCAATAGCATTATTTAGAGGGGAATGAGGGAAGGTGGGACTCGAGGATTCCTCATGGATTTCTGGTTACAACAGCTAGGTGGAGGTCATGCCAGTTTCTGAAATGGACTGAGTAGATGATAGTACATGGAGGAAGCTGAGAATTTGGGCTCTGACATCCCATTGCTAAGTCAAATCCCAGCTTTACCACTCAGTAATTGTATGACTGTAAGAAAACAACTTAACCACTCTGTGCCTCAATTTCCTCACCTGCAAAATGGGGATGATGATAACACCTCTCTCACAGGGTAGCTTTGAGATTTTAGCTAGTTCATATGAACACTTCCGAGTGTGTTTGGAACAAGATAAATACACAAAAAGTGTGAATTTTTAAGTTAGTCTACCATTTTCACATTACATGATTATCATTGTTCTTCAGAAACAATAAAGTTGTACTGTGAAATAACTTAAAGCTAGGGGCACCTGGGTGGCTCAGTCAGTTAAGCATGGGACTCTTGGTGTTGGTCTCTTGGTTTCTACTCAGGTCATGATCTCATGGTCCTGGGATCGAGCCCCAGTAGGGCTTTGCTATGTAGAAATGGTGACAATGGGCATCCTTGTCTTGTTCCTGTTATTAAGGGAAAGCTTTCAGGCCTTTACCACTAAGTTTGATGTTACCTTCATGTTTTCTGTAGAAAACTTTTTATCAGGTTGAAAAAGTTCCCTTCTATTTCTTGCTTGGTGAATGTCACTATAATGAAAGGCTGTTGTTTTGTTGAATGCTTTTTCTGCATCTAATGAGATAATCATGTGGTGGGTTTTGTCCTTTATTTTATTAATGTGGTGTATTCCTTTGATTGTATTTCAAATGTTAAATGAAGTATGCATTACTGGGATAAATTTGACTTCACCGTAGTTCATAATTTTTTTTTATCTTGCTGTGTTTAGTTTGTTAGTATTGGGTGGAGGGATTTTTGAATCTGTATATATAAGGCATATTGACTTATAGTTTTATTTTCTTGTGATATCTTCTTGTTTTGCTATCAGTGGAATGTTAAAATATAATATGAGTTGGAAAATGTTCAATCCTTTTTATTTTTTGGAAAAATTTGTGAAGAACTGGTATTAATTCTACTTTATATGTTTGGTAAAAACCACCAGTGAAGACATCTGGGTTTGGGATTTTCTTTGCATGAAGTTTCCTTAGTACTAAGTCAATCTTTTTACTTATTATAGATCCACTAAGATTTTCTGTTTTCTCTTGAGTTAGTTTGGTAGTTTGTATCTTTCTATAACTTTAGTATTTCATCTAATATTATATATATTTATATATATATATGTATGTATGTTATGTATGCAATTTATCTTTACATCAGTTAAGAGAAGAAAGGAGAGTAAATATGCTGTCTAATTACCTTTATCTTTACTGATGCTATTTGGTTTTTGTGTCTTGATTCAAGTTAATGTCTGGTGTCATTTATTTTCAGCCTGAAAATTTTCCTTTGCTAGTGCTTGAAAAGTGAGTCTGCTAGCAAAAAATTTTCTCAGTTTTTGCTCACCTGGGAATGTCTTCATTTCACCTTCATTTTAGAAGATAGTTTTGCTGGATATAAGATGATTGGTTGACAGTTCTTTTTTTTTTTCTTTTAGCTCTTTGAATATGTCATTCCACTGCCTTCCAGGTCCTTTCATTCTGCTAGAAGTCAGGTGGTAATCTTACTGAGATGCTCTTGAACATGATGAATCTTTTTCTCTCTTGATGCTTTCAAAAATTTTTTCTGTTTTGCTTTCAGTATTTTCACTATGATATGTCAGAGAGTAGATCTGTTTTCCTTGATTCTTCTTAGAGTCTGTTGACCCATTATAGATGTGTAGATTAATATTGTCACCAAATTTTTGAAAATTCTAACCATTATTTCTTTGAATATTTCTCTCCTCCTTTTCCTCCTCTCCTTCTGGTACTCCCATTATGCGTGTGTTAGGGCATTTAATGATGTGCCACATTTCTTTGAGGTTCTGTTACTTTTTCCTCATTTTTTTCTCTGTGTTCTTTATGTTGCATATCTGTTGATCCATCTTCAAGTTCACTGATTCTTCTGTCAGTTCGTATCTACTGCTAAGCTCCTTTAACAAATTTTTTCTTCTACTTAATGTACTTTCAACTTCAGAATTTCCATTTATCTCTTTTTTATATAATTTCTATCTCTTTACTGACATTATTTGATGAGACACTGCCATCATACCTCTCTTTAATTTTTTTAAACATGATTTCATTTAAGTCTTTAATCATATTTATAATGACTACTCTGAAATCTCTGAATGCTAAGTCCAACACCTGGGCTCTTTTAAAGGCAGTTTCTATTACCTGCTCTTTTTACTATGTATGGGTTATTTTTTGCTGTTCCTTTGCAAGTCTTATAATATTTAGCCTAAAATTGGATGTTTTAGATAATACATGGTAGCAGTTCTGGATACTGATCCCCTGTGGGCCTGTTGTTACTGATGTTTACTTGTTTGCTCTATTATTTGTTTGGGAATGGCTTGTCTAATTAAGTGGAATCTCTTTCCTCCTATGTCCCCTACGTGTGCAACTTCTGTTATTATTCCCAAGAGGGTGAAGCCTTAGTATACACAGAGTCATCTTTACCTCCTCCACCCCAGCCCAGGGATACTGATCATTTTAATCATGTTTGCTTTGATTGTCTCTTTCCATGGTCTCACTGTTAAGCTTCTGGCTGTTCTGCCTAAATGGGTATCACATCCAACTATTGACCAGTTTAATCACTTATTGATTACTCTACTGTCTTAACAATGCCCTAAGGCATAAATTGCTCCACAATCTGATCCAATTAAAGCTGGACCTTATGTTAGTCTGCTCAAGCTGCTATAACAAAATATCATAGACTGGGTAACTTAAACAACAGAAATTTATTTTCTCATGGTTCTGGAGGCTGAATGTCCATGATTAAGGTGCTGGAAAATTCAGTTTCTGGCAAAAGCTCTCTTCCTGGTCTATAGATGGCTACTTTTCTATATCCTCACACAGTGGAGAGAGATCTCTGGTGTCTCTTCCTCTTCTATGGGGACACCAGTTCTACCATATCAGGGCTCCATCCTGATGACTTCATTTAACCTTAATCACCTCTTTTAAAAGTCCCGTCTCCAGCACAGCCACATAAGAGTTTGGGCTTCCAAATATGAATTTGGGAGCGGGGGGGGACACAAATATTCAGTCCATAGCAGGCTCCTTTAAGGGGGAAAATATTTGAGGTCATGAGAAGGAGAATGAAGACTAACCAAAAGCTAGTACAAAGCCCCCAGACATGTGAGTAAAGCCATCTTGGAACTTTTGGCACAGCCCAGACACCAGCAGAATGCAGCCCCATGAACAAACCTCACTGACCCAAGAATTGTGAATAATAAAATGATTGCTGTTTAAGCTACTACATTCTGAGACTAGTTTGTAGCCCAGCAGTAGATAAATGAAATACTCCTTTCGTGGAATTAGAGAATAAAGATTCCTTCAGGGTAAGTTTCTGAATAGCTAGTAACAATTTAAATTGAAAGTTGATTATAAGTAGAAAGAGAGAAGGAAGGAGAAAAGAGAAGGACTATCAGAGGGCAAAGTTGTCTGGGAAAGAGAGACAGAAGAAAATCCATGAGAAAGGAGATCAGAGAAGATGATAAAAGGAAGCAAATAAGTGAGGAAATCAAGGTCCATGTGACCTCAAGGAGAAATAGAGTAAGGATTCAGGAGGCCACAAGGTGAAAGTGTGTGTGCAGGAGAGGTGGAAGAGGAGGAAGCAGGCACTAAATTCACGAACAGGAGGCATGGGTTCAGATCCCAACTCTGCCATAATTAGACAGCTGACCCTAAGAAAGGCACTTCTCTTTGGCATTCAGGTTCCTAACTGGTAAAATGAGGGATCAGCATAAATCATCTCTCCAAGATTTAACTGTTTTTATATGAAAAGAAAATAAAAATGAGTTTGATAGTTTCTATCATCACCATATCCTGAAAACCATACCCATTTAGGAAGTGAAAGAGACCTCTAACTCTATATGGTTAGCTTTATTTGTGTAACAGAGTTAATGGTCTATTTTAATGAGAAGGCAAATAGTGTTATTTTAATAATGTAGAGATGCTCTATTAAGAGTGTCTATAGTAAAAACAATTCTTTGTCTAAAATTTCTGCCTGACCTAATATGAGGTTTTGTTATTTATGGTCTTAATAAATCACATCTAATATTATTTTCTAAGAAAATAATTGTTATAATGTGAGATAATAGATGTGCTAGATTCTATCATATATTTTTAAAGCAAAATTATAAAGATCCTATTAAAAGTGTCCCTTTACAGTTGTTCAAACATTTGATGCTATCAAACACAATGTTGCTACTCTTTTAGAATATGAATTTGGTTCCATGAAACAAACAAACATTACACATACTATTAATGGGTATGTGTTCTCTTAAGTTCTGCTCCTATATGAAATCATTTCAGATTTCCATTCATTCATCTGTACGTACTAAGCATGTTTCTCTTTGCTCCTCATTCAGACTGAATTCCCCAAATATACAAAACTCTTATTCTTATATGTCTCTGTTTTTACCAGGCAATTATCTCAGTCTGGAAAATGTCCCCCACCTGTATTTTCTTTTTTTTTTTTTAAAGATTTTATTTATTTATTTGAGAGAGAGAATGAGAGAGAGAGAGCACATGAGAGGGGGGAGGGTCAGAGGGAGAAGCAGGCTCCCTGCCGAGCAGGGAGCCCGATGCGGGACTCGATCCCGGGACTCCAGGATCATGACCTGAGCCGAAGGCAGTCGCTTAACCAACTGAGCCACCCAGGCGCCCCCCACCTGTATTTTCTATGGAATTTTCCTAACCTTACTCTAACTCCTTTTCATTTTTCACTTCTTATTCTATCACTTCTGCAATGCTTTCTCTGACCCCTAAAGTCTGGCTAAGGCCTAGGTTCCTTTGAGATCGTCTCATTAAACACCTCCAGAATGACACTTCTATGCTATTTTGTAATTGCCTATTTTCTGTGTGCATTCCACATTAGACTCAAAGTTTCAAGAGGACAGAGATCTGAAAGTAAGCATGTTTTCTTCCTGTTATATATCCAAGCGTGTTCAATCAATAGTAGTTCAATAAGGGGAAGATAAATGAATGCGGTACTGTGCATGTGGTATTGTGGAGATAGTAAAAGGACTAGAACTATGTAGGACATTAAACTCAGCTATATTCATTATAGTTGTGTACATTTGACTATGGTATTTTATGATTAAGAAAACAGCAGTTGGTTTAAATATCAATGTAACCCCAATTCTGTCACAATGTTGAAAAGCCTTAATTTTTTTCTAAATATAATTTAGTAAAATATATTTAGAACTTTAAAAATGGGAATAATTGAGGAAAAGAAAGGTAAACAGATTAGATCATATATGCCTGTTTCCTGGAAGATAAACTACAGATGAAAAATATATTAATAAAATGTATCCTTTGTGCACTTAGGATATTTAAGGAATCAAATCCTGCATTTTCCAGGATATGAATTATACAGGTCAGTCAACAGCTTATCAGATTTTACAAAATACCCCTGAGTTGCACAGCAAGTTTCCAATTTTGAAGAAGTAGGATCTAAGGATTTATTGAATAGTCAAGACACAGAAAGTCGTGAAGCAGAAACAGGTGTCTGTTACCTGTCTAGGGTGAAGGCATACATCTTGGTGGCTCTGTCATTCACAAGGTAAGTTCTTTCGAGAAACTCCATGGTGGTCAGGATGAGAGCTTCTGCTGTTGTTTGTGGTTGTTGTGGCTTCTGCTGTTTACCTCACTGCTCAGTTTGGGAAGCAAAGCAGCATTATAATCATTCACATACTTTCCAAAGAAAAAAATAAAAAGGCTTCTGTGATTTAGAATAACAAGCCTCCTACATCAAGGTTCTTGGTAGGTCTGCTAAAATTACAGCCTCCTTGGACGATCACCTGGTCTCATTCTCTTACCCACAGAAACTCCTTTCCTACAGAGACCTGCAGGAGGGATCAGGTGAAGCGAGAGAGAGAGAGAGAGAGAGAGAGAGAGAGAGAGAGTGTGTGCTTCCGATGCTATCTGATTCCACTGTTTCCTGAGAGGTAGGGGAGCTCAAGGTTTCCTGCTAATTGCTGATGTAGATGTTTGGTCTTCAGAACACACCTGGGTGAGCTGCAGACACCCTTCTGGGCACTAGTCTCATGATTTCCCTTTCTTTTCCTTTCATTTTTTTTTGGTGGGGGGGGGGGGAATCTCTCTCTCAACCTAAAAACATTTCTCCTGAGATTTAGTTCTAAGATGACCTCTAAGCACTGTCAGGATTTACTTTCTCCTCTCCCAGGGCCATTTTGGGATTTCACTACTGAAGGGAGGACATGGGTCATTAGTTGCTGAAGTCTGTAATCTGAAACAGTTCCTGGTGTGGCAGCTTTGAAGCCCTTTTGACAGGCAGGAAAAGGGCAGACTCAGCTTCTAAATAAATTACAGCCCTCAGTCATACCTAAAAGAACTGGAATGATCTGTCTTCTCCCTGGGTAGGGTATCCTCTGCTGAGGATAAAAGACTCACCCAAGGAAACCCTATCAGGAAAACAAATCACAATTCAGGAATGGCATCTTCTGAGTTGATCCCAAGGGACATTCAACCCCCAAACTCCTAGGAATTCACATTTTATTTCATTATAAAGCATTTTCCTTTCCAAATAAGAGAAGGGACTATAGCCCTTTATGGTGGGCATTTGTGGGGAGGCCAAAGAGCATCCAAGACCTGTACAGATGCACATGGGGAATTGGGGAGTACAGACTGGAGAAGAAGCCATAAATCTCCAACTACTGAGTACTCATTTCCTTCTCCCTCTGTCAACATTCACTTCCTAATGGGAAAACTCAGAGTAGTGTAGTCCTGGAATAGCCCAGTTGCCCAGCATCTTGGGAATCTGCCCATAGTACTGAGCCGAAGTCTGCCACAATGGCCTAACAGGAGAGATATTGCGTCTGAAGAAGAAAATGGGATTCAATGGCAATTTCAGTAGCAGTGAGAGGAGAAGTCACCTTTGGCTAACAGTGAGAGCATCAGGTGTCCTATGACATCTGCAGTGAAGCTGTACCTCATGTTTAAGATTTCAAACAGCCTCATCCATAAGTTCTAAGGTCTTTCCATATGACTCCATTGCCTAACCAATCGTTAACTTGGTTGTGACTGATGGAAATCAGAGAAATGGCTCTGGGAGGACATTTTTCCTTGCAGGAGAAATTCTGGGTCTAGAGTTACTAGAATAATCCAAAGCATTTCCTTCTCATATATCCTTACTCTTAACTTTGCAAAATAATAGGTTATTCTGTGGATGTAAAGTAGGAAACCAGAAAAGAATTACTAATCCATCTTTGTGACATGTTGCAACACTTTGCAGCTTGAATCATTTGTGAATTGTTTCTAGTACATAGGAGAGAAATAGAATTCAAGTGAATGAATGTCAAAAAGGGAATTAGGCTGAAATCCATTAAGGATAAGTGCAAAGAAGAGAAGATAAGCAATATTCAAATGCAGGAAAGAGAATATATAGCTGTAGCTATCAACAGGGAAAAAAAACAATCTGGAAGTTTGAGATCTGCATCATGAGTTTTGTCACTAACACATATATAGATGCGCAGATATATTTACATCTGTTCATGATTCTGTGAGCACAGAGATACATACTAGGTTGTTAATGTGAATTGCCTGTGAGGCAAGAAGAGAGTGAGGATATATGGGAAGTGTAGGGAAGGACTGATACAGAAGAGGGTGAGGTGGAGATGAGAAAAGAGGGAATGGGGAACCCAGCAAAGAAGAAGAAAAACATGTATTCTGTGACCTCTGCTATTTATTTATAAGTTAAAATATATAAAATTGCCATTTTTATAGACCTAATATAGTCTAAAATCAGCAATTTCCTATGATTTACTTAAATATATGTGCATGCATATATACAAACCTATAAAATGTGTATGTGTACATGTGTGATCATTTAAAAATAAAAAATATGCATTTTTTAAAAGTATTAAGAAATTACTTTCATCAGATTTTTGTGAATTTCCAAGTGCTACTCTTGAAAATAACTACTCTAGTATAACCCAAAACTTCTGGTGTAAGTAGCATAAGAGTAGCAAAGAGTAGATTACAGCAAATAAAACTTTTATGTTAAAAAAGTAAGTTTTGCTGCTATAAATTTAAATGTAGATAAATTATGATTAAGAATTGCCTGCATGTCACATTGTGTGAAATATTCACCTTTTGATAACTTTGTCAACTTATAAACTCATTTTAACTACACCACCATCCCCTTCCCCCCATTATTCTGTCAGTACAATGTCTATGAAGAATTTCCCATCCTCTCTGACTAACCTTTGGCCCACTCTGGCTTGCACCGCCCACCAAGGACCAATGGCCCTAATCAGACTGGCAAAATTCACAAAATATGCATTTGGAAAGCAACACAGATCAAAAAAAGAAAATCCTTTCTCTTTTTGACAGTTGGTTTTGGTGGGCATTATGCTGCTTTTTCCAGTTTCCAAGGCAACCAGCTTCTAAACCATCCTGAATTACAGGTTGTCCTCTCCTCCCACTCACCATCACAAGCTTGTAGAAACTGAAGGGGCAAAATGCAATTTATTAACAGTTACCTCTGGGAATAAATATCATGTCAGCCATAAGAACATCACTGACATGACCAAAGAACTGATTCAGCTTCCCAGTGCTAGCTGTTGTTGGCAACTATTTCTTAATAGGATTTTACAAACATTAACTAATACTCATGCAAAAATAATTTACACAGGTGTCTTACACATCATTTGATATTTTACTTGCAGAAAGTGTGTTTGGAAAACCACCATGATCATCCCTAGACACTAAAGTACTGAGTTCTCAAGATTTGCATTCCCCAAATTTAAACTCATACTTCAGAAACACTTCATATTGCCATTGTTTGCATGTAACTGTCTTTTAAAAAGAGACATGAAAGTGTGCTTGTTTTAAAATAATAATGTGGATTTTCATTCTGTTTGGCTATTTCTTGTTTGTGTGGAGAGGCAGTATAGTAAAGTGGTTTAGTGCATGGACTTTCAAATCAGAGAGACTTAATTTCAGTTTCTGGTTTGACCATTTCCTCACATGTGTGACCTTCAACAAGTTAACCTGGCCTCTGTGGTTTTCAATTTCTCATCTGTAAACGGTGCATTAATGGAGTCCCTCTCTACAGAGTGCTTGTGAAGAGTAAAAGAGATAATGTGTATAAAAGTTTTAGCCTAGCATCTGGCATATAATCAGTGTTACATAGAAGTGAGTTGCTATGGATTTGGCCATGTCTAAGTAAAATGTCCTGGCTATCTCAGAGAAATTGACCCCAGTCTTAGCAGAAGGCTAAGAATTACCCATGATGGAAGAATCCATCAAGGAAGTAGAAGTTATTGCAAAGAAGACCTGGGGACTTGAACCCACCGTCAGTCAGCTATATGACTTCAGGTAAATCCCTCAAGCTCCCTAGGCCCAATGTTCTCAAATAATCTGTGATTTGTGATTTCTCAAATGGATTTTTGCCTGCCTCATTCTACTCGCTTAGTAGTCGAGTGCCATTCAGAATGTGTCCTCCATAAAGAGGACAAAACAGGAAGGAAATGAGAACTCAATCAGTATAATCACCTGCTGAAAATTCTGGACTTCTGTACTACCACACAGACTATAAAGATATTATTTCTAAGCTCAGTGGCATTTCCTTAGTAAGGTGGTTTTGTGGTTATTACTACAGTGTGAGTTCTTCAAAAGTTCCATCCAAGAATGTGAAAACAAAGACATTGAAAATTTAATTGGATTGTATTTTAAAGCATGTTGTGAAAATTTCATTTTAATCTAAAGTAAACATGTATAAAACACAAACCATTTCCTGATATTTCATACTTTATGTGAGAATGGACTGAGCTATCTGAGTTTTATTTTCTCCTTGATAAACTGGTACTATATAACTCTTTCTTTTGCCATTTTTTTTAAAAAAGATTGAGCTATAGAAATGTTTCAGTGCAAATGCAATTTATATTTGTTGAAAAAAACTTGATAAAATATTGATACTAAAACAATAAAAATACTTTATTAAGCCTGATGGATGCAAATAAATAATACAAAAATAAACTAGCACTGTTTTGGTAGGGGGGAATATTGGGACTAGGTGGTTAAAATGTTTACGAAGTGTATATTTTATTGATTAGTCTCTATGTCCCACAATTCCTTTCACAAGCACTCTGCAAACTTAAATTAATTAACCCTTAAATGCACTCTCCAAGAAAGATATGGTTGACTTAGTCTTACAAACTCCAAAGTAGTTATCTGCTGGCTTCACATTCTTACAACTATATATGTCTCTCTTCTTTACTTTTTTTTTACTTTGACAAGCAAGAGAGGGTTCTAAGGACCAAAGCCATGATTTTTAAAGCATTAGAATAAGAAATGTATAAGAAAGAACAAGAAAAGAAAAATCATGATTATTTCAAAGCATTTGATAAAACACAACATCTATTTATGATTAAAACTTCTAAAAAATGTGGACATAGAGAGACTGTATCTCAACATGATAAAGACCATATATAATAAGCCCATTAGTGGTGAAAACCTGAAAGCGATTCCTTTAAAATCAGGAACAAGACAAGTATGCTCATGTTGCCACTTTTATTCAACATAGTATTGGAAGTCCTCACCAGAGCAATCAGGCAAGAAAAAGGAATAAAAGGCATTTACATTATAAAGGAAGAAGTAAAACTGTCACTATTTACTGAAGAAGTAAAACTGTCACTATTTAGAGGACATGATATTATATATAGAAAATCCTAAAGACTCCATCAAAAAACTGTTAGAACTGGGGCACCTCTGTGGCTAAGTCGGTTAAGAGTCTGCCTTCAGGGGCACCTGGGTGGCTCAGTCGGTTAAGCATCTGCCTTTGGCTCAGGTCATGATCCCAGGGTCCTGGGATCAAGTGCCGCATTGGGCTCCCTGCTCAGTGGAGGTCTACTTCTTCCTCACCTTCCCGCTCATGCTCTCTCTCGCTGTCTCTATCTCTCTCTCTCTCTCAAAAAAAAAAAAAGAGTCTGCCTTCAGCTCA